CTTTCTCCTGATATTCTCGGGCCTTGTCATAATGACCAAGTGATTGGAACAATGTTCCTAGGTTTCCGTAGCTTGTTGCTTCTGCATCCCTATCGCCAATTTCTATTTTGATAGCGAGTGCTTTCTCCTGATATTCTCGGGCCTTGTCATAATGACCAAGTGATCGGAACAAAGTTCCCAGGTTTCTGTAGCTTGTTGCTTCTCCATCCCTGTCGCCAATATCTATTGTGATAGCGAGTGCTTTCTCCTGATATTCTCGGGCCTTGTCATAATGACCAAGTGATTGGAACAAAGTTCCTAGGTTTCCGTAGCTTTTTGCTTCTCCATCCCTGTCGCCAATTTCTGTTTTGATAACGAGTGCTTTCTCCTGATATTCTCGGGCCTTGTCATATTGATTAAGCGATTGAAACATTTTCCCGAGCCTTATGTAACATACTCCCTGGCCATGTGTGTCTCCAATCGTTTTCATGATGTTGATTGCTGATTCGTAAAAGTTCCAGGCCTCCATGAACTTACTTTGTACTCTAAGTATTTCTGCCAGTTTTAAATGTAGCCATCCTTTTTCAGCGGAGTCATGAGAGTCTAGGTAGAGGAGGAGTTCTTTAAGGTAGTTTTCTGTATTTGTGTAATCCTTTATATAATCGTAAGCACAGATTATTGCCAAGTAGATGGCACAGAACATAGTGTTTGCCAATGAAATATCGATTACCAGCACCTGACTATGTATTATAATCAAACATTCCTTGTATACTTCGATGGCTTGCAACACGCGACCAGTTTTGCGAAGGAAGTCGGCGACCACCTTACCTATGGAGATGGCTGATATGGCTTCTTTTATGCTGTCCATCTTGACCATGTTTCTTCTCAGCTTGAAAAAAAAAGGAGAAATTAGTGAAAACTTAAACACGGACTGTTTGTAAAAAAAATCTTTTAAGTTTTAAATTTAAAATTGCAATTTTTATCTTCCTTTCCCCGCCTTGTATTTTTTTTTTCGTATTAACAGGCGGTGCACGTGATTTCATAATTAGCAAATCACGTCGAAGAACTCTAACCTTGACATCGGAAAACTGACGTGGACATTTTTGGCGTAGTTTTGTTGCTTGTTTTGACGGAGTTTAGATAATTGCTTTTGAGGTTTTGTTCGCACTATTTTTTGAACCCTTATTTTTGAATTTTGAGACATTTTAATTTAAGCAAAATTTTGTGGTTCATTTAACAAGTTTAAAACATATTTTCTGCGGAGTTTGGACTCTAGCGTCTTTTTTTTGTAAATGGAGTTTTTACACTGTCCGTCAAAGAGGAACACACCTTTGCCCTCTGTTCTACTGGAGTGTTCGTTACACTGTCACGCCAATCACGCAAATCAGAGACCAACTGGAAAATTTAACTGGATAACAGAACACAACAAGTTTCATTTGACCTGCTGATTCCTACTTAGTTTACAGTAACTCAATTCAATTGTATGAGGGAGCAATGCTCTTAACCAAATCGATTTACTGGGCTCTCAAGGGAGCTTTTGTTCCAGAAATTAGATAAGAAAGCAGGTTTCCCTTGAGCTGCTTCCTAAATTAAAAATATATTATGACTCATAGATGTTGCATGTGTTCGGAGAATGTTCCATATAAGCTACCTCTGTGTGAAGGTCCTGTACTTTACGGAGTGTTTGTAAAAATTTTCCGTGAATAATCAATACGAACTTAATTTGATGATCTTGCATTTTGATTGTGTATATCCTTGAAACAGATGCATTATTTGTCGATGTTTTTGGAAAAAATATCGTAAGGTATCGATACATAAACAATGACTTTTTTTCCCCAATATATCTCATTCAAAAGAAGAAGTCGTAGTTTCTTTTTAAACAGGGGATGGAACAGTAAGATTTCTATATGCTGTTAATGTTGTTATTCTTATGATTTTCTTTTGTAGCTTTCATAACAATACTAGTGTTGTTTGGATTTCTAAAACAGTCAGCATCGATGCAAATTACCTTTTGAAGCTAGAAACGTTCCTTATTCATTTTTATGAAGGCTAAGGGACTTGTATAAGATCTTCCGAAGGAGATCAACGTTTTCCTGG